ATCGGCTTGTCCGTATAAAATGTGTCATACTCACAAATATTCACACTTGAAATATACACGTTTGTGAGTCTCGTTGTTTACTGTAAATGTTCATAAATCTTTATTCATATTTTATCTTTAGCTTACTTGGTTTTGGCCGGGTAAACAACGTTGATGACTCGGCCTTTATCTTAATTTACAAATCTAAAAATACAAAAAGCTTGTCTTTTCGTATTAACGTGTTCTTTCTTTTTGTGTTCTTTCGCGCCGAAAAGCACGACAACGTACGAACGTTTCTGACCTGTACACGCGCGCGTGTCCACGCAACACGAGAACTTACACTATATATTAACTTCTCTTACCGATTTTTCATATCTTGCTTAGTTCTTGAAATATGTTCACTTGAAGTAATGAGATGTCCACCATCTTAATTGGATAAATTTTTGATCTCATTAACGGTAGCTTTAATTGGTGACGTAACAACAAGGATTAACCATCCTGAAATATTCGTTGCTGACCAAATATTGATTCCGATTTGATAGATGTTTTAAAGGTTTTGAGTGATCTTTATATTTCGAAGGGCAGACAGAGTATAGTTTTGAGTGCAAAATGATTAGTGGTTGTCTGGTCTTGCTTAGTTCTTGAAATATGTTCACTTGAAGTAATGAGATGTCCACCATCTTGGATAAATTTTTGATCTCATTAACGGTAGTTTTGGTGACGTCACAACAGGGATTAACGGCATATAAAAGTATTCGTTGTCGACCAAATATTAATTGATAGATGTTTTAAAGGTTTTGAATGACCTTGATATTTCGAAAGACAGACAGGGTATCGTTTTGAGTGCAAAATGATTAGTGGTTGTCTAGATAAAAATATTGCGTGACCCCAGTTGTGACGTGCCATGCATATCTACAAAAATTGAAGATGGCGGACATTTCAATTCATTCCTTTCGATCAAAATATTTGTAGAAGTAAGCAAGATATGAAAAAACAGTAAAAGTGTATTAGCCTATATATAATCTGAACAGTAATTTCAAAGAGAAAATAAAAAAATATATTGCCATTCCCTTTAAGATGATAATCATAATCATGGCATGCTTTCTATGATCTTTCTCATGACTCCTGAATAGTTTTCCGAGGCATCGATAGTATATAAATTATATGAAAATAGCCAAATGAGAAACACGCGTTATTTACCCCAATAATATTTACCCAAATAAAAAGCACACAGTACAGTATGTATTTTACTACGGCTTTCGTGAAGATATAACAATCTTCATCTCGACAAAAGAATTCACAGCTCGGTTTATGTCTACAGAACCAAAACGTATACCATGGTTTGTAGTCGAACAGGACGCAGTCACGCAGGTTTTCCATGTAGACACTCTATCTTTTGGCTTTGGCAGGGATATGATACTCAAACGAATGTGATCGAATTTTATAGCGACGGTAATATGCGACGCTAATTGAAAAACGATACTTGCTAGATACTTTTGCGATGAAAATGGTGCGCTCAGTTTAATGACTGTTTCGCCCAAACTCGCCTTGAGTTACGTCATTCATACATTTTAATGATAATGCGCCGCCCTGCGGTGCCCTATATGATGATGTGGCGCCCTGCGGTGCCCTAAAAATCCGGGTCTAACGGCCCATATATTACTACTCATGCATGCATGCCTCTCATATAAGCGCACTGGCTAAGATCGTGGCGTCAGCATTTTGATGTTACGCCAAAAGCATAGGAAAAACCAAGAAGTCGCCAGTCGGGCTTCTGATAAGTCTCTTTTCTGTGACATGACGCCACACCGCGAGCCTGCGTTCAGTGTTTAGTCAATTACGAATACTTCATGTTAAACCAATGTTTGGAAATATAGGTGAGGGGTTGCTGTATGCATGTATTTCTAGTAAGCTAGCTAGTATATGCAAATGTCTCTCTCGCTGCCCTTGGGAGCCCCCTACTCCGAACTACTAAAGTACAACACTCAGCTCGTTCTTAGTATCATTTATTTCATAAATCCAAATAAATATATAATTTCACGCACTGGTTATTATTCGTACGGGTACTAGTTTATGCTTTTCAAATTTCCTGGTTCGACGACAGGAAAAAAATGTCCCACCTGATGTGTTTCAAATATTGTGTGTTTGAGAGTCAAAAGGTAGGAGCTCTGTCGTTTCTTGAATTTCTTAAAGTAATTCACAGTAATATAAATACTGATCAAATTGCTGTGAAATTTTATTCTCTTTCTTTGCAGTGCCAATAAGAAGATTGCGTTACTTTGGGTGTTGTATATTTCGATATTTATTAAATTTAGGTTTCGAAGGTAAGGTTACAATTTGGCGATTATTTAATAAACGTTTGAATCTCTGCGGGAAAAATAATTTTATTAAAAGTAATTTTAACTGCGTATTTCTGGTTCTCCGCGGTTTTTTTGGAGACTGTTATTAGTTTTGTCCAGTCACGGAAAACTTCCAGCCTTGGCTTTTATTGTGAAATTTAGTTGAATTGTGAGATTCTTATAAAACCGATACAAATTCAACCTATAGCCGTAACCAAAAAAAAATATAAAACATACTAATTAACATGAACAAATTCAGTAACAAGTCCGGAAAGTTTATAATATATCTCAGGCGAAAAAAAATTGCTATATGTAGAAAGAATAGAATGGTGGGATCTGCAGGGTTATGTTAGATATTTTGTTGTCATAAGCAACCTGAAACAAAAACATTGTAATAATTACATTAAACAAGGTCTAAAAAATGATCTCCCATGCAATCAAGCTGGAATCGGATTATTACCTAATAAATAGGCTATCTTCATTTTATTTACACATTACATATGACTGACGTGTATATCTTGTTTATATGTGAAACAATGTTGGACTGCCACCTGCATTTTTATATTGAAATTGTCCTGATACATATCGATTAACATCAGCAAAACCATAATATCTGCAAATCGCGTGTTTTAACAAAATGAAATTAAGAACGATATGAATATGATGTCTGAATAAATTTTAGACTCTGAAAGAAAATTATATCTATATATTTAAATACAAGTTGCAAATGTTATCAATGAAAAGGTGATTGCTTATATATTATATTGTATATATTATATATATTGCTTATAAAAAATTAGTTTAGTTCATTTGAAAGAACTCTTAAAACTATATATTAAACTCTATTACAGATTGTTTATATCTTGCTTAGTTTTCAAAATATTTCGACTGAAAAAGTGAGCTGTTCGCCATCTTGGATTATTGAGGATATGCATGTTACGTCAAGAGAGGGGTCACGCTAATTTTTTATCTTGAGAGTAAGCGATCAATATGGGTCCAAAACTTCATTTCTGGTTGCTGTCTGAAATTTAGAAATGATTAAAAACATTTCAAACAATTTTGAATTGTTACTCGGTCATTTTAGAGTAGTTTTATATGGTTAACCCAACTCCTGACGTTATCAAAACCATAGTTAATGAGGTAAAGCATTTTTCCAAGATGGCGGAAAGCTCATTAATTTCGGTCTAAATATTTCGAGAACTAAGCAAGATATGACAAATCGGTAATAGAGTTTAATATATAATTTTAAGAGTTCTTTTGAATGAGACAAACTATTTTTTTATTGCCAATGTCCTTTAACGTTGGAAATGGAATTTTATATCTAGATTACCCCAAATAGATATGAAATCAATAAGTACTTGTATAATTTGTTTATATAAAAACATTAATCAGCAATATTTGAAGTATTTTTATTTTAAAGAGAGGGCAGCAGTGGTAATTTATCGGCTTGGTGCAAGTGGGTGGATTACTAAACTAACTCTCAAAATATTGCCATACAGATGAGCCTGTGAATTTAGTACTTGCCTATAGAATACAATAAAATAATGATTTTAATTGACCTAAATAAAATTGTACCTTACTATATACTGAGCCCAGACTATGATCCCTTTCACAACAATTCTGGTATTACTTTTCTTAACAGTATTTATATCCTAGCTCACCCTGTCAACTTTCCCTGTGGGAGGAAACTGGAGGTCTGGAGCACGAGAAAAGCTATGATTGTCGGAAGAGTGCATGTATAGTAGCCTCCTCCGCAGGCATCTCACGCGAGAAATCGGGTGGAAGATTTTTTTCCCATTCGCAGGCTAGAACGCTAAAACCCATAGAGAGGCCTGCGGAGGAGGCTATGCATGTAGATTGAATTTCTCACATGAATGGGAAACGAGAGAATATATCGAACCCACGATCTCATAGGTGATCACATGCAGGCGCTTACTCTGACGACTGGGCCGCCAAACCACTTTCCTATAATATACTGCATGCTTTGAATTATTAAGTCCTCCTGCCTTTTAACGAAAATTCTTACAGACTTGACTGACTCGTTTAGACTCATAGCTAGTTACGAACCTGTGTTTTTTTTTTCATTCAGAAACGATCTCGACGATAATGAAACTTCTTCTACGTTTCCTTCTGCTTTTCCTGTGCGCGGAGAAACAAAAAATATATTCCGAGGTGGTTTTGGACTACAGCAAGTGTCAGAAATTCTTCTATAAAAGCGCTCCCCCTAAAATCGGTTTTCTAAACCAACCTGAATTAGACTTGGCGGGTATTTGTCAAAAATTGGGGAACGTATATCACTTCGCTACCCTCTACAGCAAGTATTGGAGAATCCCTATGTACAGCGCTTATGAGTTACAAGATCCACAAAATTGGCGTCCCGGACCGAGCGGAGAGATCGTCGTCACAAAAGAGTGTACCAGCGTGCAGAAAAGTCGTGGAACATGGTTTATTGAACCACAGGTACATTTCAGCTAGATTCATGTCCTCGTAAACCATTCACATATCCATATAGGCAACATACAATCACGAATCTGTAGCATGGGATGGTGTGTGTGTGGGTGGGGGGGGGGAAGGTGGAGGGGGTCGCATCACGCGAAGAAGACCAGTCATTTCACCTTTCACTTGTAAGTTGAAAATTGAAAAACACGTTTTTATCACCGTCTAGATCGATAGAAAAGTCGATAATTTTACGTCATTGGCAATTCACGAATCGCAAAATACCCTTCATCCATCAGATTGTCAAATTATTTAAAGGCACGTTCGGACGGGTCATCTAGTGCCCAAACGATGGCTCCACTGATAATGTCAAAATGTGATAAGCTATTGTTCGGGCACAAACTATAGAGTATAACTATATGCACACTATTTGAACTTGAGTACCGAATCAATCTCACCATAATACCTATATTTACATTCGATGTTTGTTCGGTAGAATTTCGGAAGTAATCGACGGATGTTGTTACTGTACGTTTAGCATATTCTATGGTATAATCGGGACTTCCTATACTAGGACGTCCGTCTTAGAGCAAGCGAAGTATTTTAACGACAGCAATTACTTTCCGCATTTTAGCAAAATTTGGATTTTAGAATTAATCCTTCAGTTTTGTACATTCCTCCAATCAGCAATCCTGTTTCCACGGAGTTGCATTGTTGAACTGACGTTTAATAAATGCAGCAGAGAATTGCGTTGTTTTCTTCATATTTCATATGTTGGATCCAAGGATCAGGGTGGTATGGCCTCTTAGCTTTCGCAAGCAACATCTTTTTGACCATGATGAAATAAAATGTTTGGCCATGGTGAAATAAATGTCTGGTATATGTTATATATATATATATATATTGACCACATTTCTGAGATGTTATGATCTTGGTTATCCTCAGAGTATGTTCTTGTCAATCCAATCTCTCCAGCTTCTTCAAGGGTAGGGAGCAGTAGCGGACAATAATTTTGAAAGACTGTAAAAATCTTGTACCAAATAACACAAATCACACTCATATAACGTAATTGCCATCATAATGTAATAGTATATGTTTCTGTACTGTACATGTCACAACATACGCATTTTATACATTCGTTTTGACGGATACTAGGAGTCAAATTTTTCCAACAGGCACTTCTTTTTCATAGTCGATTTTTTGTTGTTTGAAACAGCGAAATTTCCTGCTGCACAATAATATTTGAATGCATATTAAACTATAATTATGCTCAAAAACAATGGATAATTCAATTAACATTCCAATTTTAAGTTCACAAAAACAAAAGCGTGCACAGCAAATAAATTTCACTCACTTAGCGAATAAATTTTTACATTGTCATTGGCGTGTTAATTAAATTAAACCACCTTGCAATTCCATTCACAAATGTAAATAATGATGTAAATATTTTCTCTGAAATGTTAGTTTTCTATGCTTAGCATGTGATCTATAACAAAACGCATCATTAAAAAACGTGTTTTGAAAACCTAGTTTTTTACAAAATGTGTTCTCAGAATGCTGCAAATGCCATTTCTGGGACTCAAATTTTAAAATTTTCCCCTGCCTTTGGCACGAGCCCCCCCCCCCAATATTTCGTAAAGTGTCCGCCACTGGTAGGGAGTCGATTCCAGCCACCTTTAAACATCTGTCTCAACAGTTCCATCCAACATCAATCATCATACACTCGAAATTTCAAAAAATTCACAACATCCAATTTACACTCGACATTTCGATCTACAAAAGCAATGAAATTATTCTTCTTAATATTGCGAGACAAATTAATTAAGAGAAAAATTGCATAAAATAACGGCATCGTACCACATGTGATCTTGTGAATATATTTATATATTAATTTAGCGAAACATTTGGAGGGAAATTAATCCTTGGAATACAAAAATAATTTCCACTTTTATCTAAGGCCAGCATGCAAGTAAAAAAATGGTAGTTTTTCGTCCCCGCTCGCATCCTTTTCCCTGCCGCATGGATTTTTCCTTTTTTTAAATTTTTATATTCGAGCCTTTCAAAGAATTTCCACTTAGTGTATTTCGACTATTTTGCTCCTTTCGGCATAGTTCGGTTGCCGTTTGGAAGTTTTCGTCAACTCTCGCTTGCTGTTCCGTATTTTGGATTTTTGGTGCCATATTGCATTAGTAGCTGTTTGTCGACACTTTAATATATTTACGTTTTATGAGTAAATTTCAATATTTGCTTGTGTTTATAGGTAGTGGCGGAAATTCATTTTTTTCGGGGGGGGGGAAGCAAAGCCTTCTAAATTTCCGACAAAACTTTCAATTTTCCGACAAACCCCTCCAGTCGCCCCCACCCCCCGCCCCACCAAGATTTCCGCCACTGTTTATAGGTTATTACTGGGTAAACTTTAAGAGCAATATTTGAAGGTTTAACAAAAAAAAAGAAAAAAAGCGCGCGCATTCTCCTTTTTTTTCAAAATTCGGACGAGAAACCACCAATTTTTTTTACTTGGCCTAAATTACTTTTTTCCCAATATTTCCACTATGGGGGTTGTTAACGTAGCCATAAAAATACTGAAATCCACCTCCACCTGAAATTGGCGACGCAAAGTAAATTACTAGACTTGCCCACAAGACTTTGGAAAAGTCTAAGTAAATGCCATAATCGTTGAAGATACTAGTATCACTACTCAGGAAAAATTGAAGTTGGATGAAGGTGTATGAAGTTCCAAATATTCCATATAATATTTCAAATCTAGATAACATTCGATTACGTCTTAAATTGTACCGAACAAACATCGAATCTAAATATTTATGTATTTATGTAGAAACTTTCATCTAGTAAATTATAAACAACATATGAATACATATATATATGAATATACATATATCATATAATAATATATATAATTATTATCCATAGTTATCGGGGGGAAATCGGCCTGATAACATGGCAACAGCACTAGGCGAGAGTGACATTTTCAAGATTAACCAAGCCATTGAAGTGGACTATAGTAACACTGGTTTTGATAGGGGTCACCTAAATCCCGCCTCTTACAACTGTGACCTAGATCGGGAAGCCACATTTACCCTTACAAACGCTGTTCCTCAAAACCCCTGCTTTAACGAACAGACATGGAAGATATTGGAGCAAACTGCAAGAACAGCGATGAGAAAATTGTGTAATTTCCCTGGTGCCAAGCGATATTTTGTCACCGGAACAGTGCCACAAAATAGAATGATTCCAAATAAAGAACACGATGCCGAATCTGATCGTATTAGGCAATTCAATCGAGTCAGTGTACCCAGTCACTTGTGGACTGCAGCTTGCTGTGATTCTAGTCAAGCGAGTGATCCAACCAAAAGGGCCAACGGATTTTCGATTGCTTACTATGGTGAAAATAAAGCATATTCTTCCCCCAAAAGCAGCAATGTACCTGATCTAGAGGGATGGCTAACTCGTCAGTATACTGAGATCAAAAACATTAAAATTTTTGCGGACGACTGCTTTAAAGATTCCGCAAATTCCATCATCGCAACGGGGATGTTAGAAAAGGTAATAGGTATTCAGGGAAAAAATGCAGAGTCAAGCGCAAGCTCCATGAAACCATCCACTCTTCCACCTAAAAAAAGACCATGATTATCACAGGAAAGGGTTAGCTTCCAGCAAAGCGAGTTCGCTTATTACTTATATCTGCATGAGGCTCAAATTCACGAATATTGTAATGAAAACGTGTATTGGTATTTCTACTTGTATTTAGATTTATTTAATCACGGTAGCTTATCAACTGTTACGTTGTTTTTCATATAGGGCCGTGAAAATATTTACAAATAAAACTTATACAGTATACATGCATAATTAATTGCTTAATCCAGACCATTTACTCCAATATATATAATTAATTAAACCGTCTTTTCATAAATTGGTATTTAGGAATTTCGATTACTTCTTAAATTATAATTTACATTATTATACACTTTTCAAAAAGATGATATATTATTTCAGAACGGCTTCTTTTCAATAATAACATTAGCACTAGTCGATCCTCACGTCTTTTTTCGAAGATTTTCCAACACAACTTTTCTAATATTTGTTTTGACCAAATGTCATAGTTATCTCCTGTATTCCTGCAATGGTTCTTGCCGCTCTGTTTGGGAGTTTCTGTATATTTAATTTTAAAGTTTTGCAACAATTACGCCTGTATTCTAAAAACTCAGTCACGCTCACACTAATGTCGTAGTAATGAGTAGAGATTCAATCTGAGCTTCTCTTGAGTGTCAATGATGTTTTTGAATAAGCTGGAGGGTGAGCAGTCACATAGTAAGGTACGACATTAACCCTCCAGCTATTCAAAAACAGCAGTGACACTCGAGAGAAGCTCAGATTGAACTTCCACTCATTGAGTGTGAGTGAGCTTTTAGAATACGGGCGTAATACTCCAAACAAGAGAGCAATAACCAAAGTATATGTTAAGACAGGACTAACGAGAGATAGGTACGAAGCACGCCCAATTTTTCCAACGACCACACCCATTTTCTTAAATCACCCAATGTTATCTTTCAACCAACATGGGAGAGTTGAATTGCCGAAACCCTCTTCCATCAAAATGTAAAAAATCGAGAACGTTAACAGTACTTGCTTGTTTGAAGTCATGCAAGTCTCCTTCATTACGTTGGAAAAATCAACTCTTTATTCTTTTAGCCTTGTTGTACTTTAAAAAAGTAATCAGATTTAACTCTCGCTTCCTAATCTTAACAACAGAGAGTTACGAAAATGTTAACTCACTCGTAATTGCAATCGTTTTGACGTTAGAGAGTTACGGCAAAGTTGGTTAATTAAAATAAATTATCGGAAGAGTTGATTGGATGTGTAAAAATTCTCCTTCTCTTCCGCCAATCCTCTTCCTTATCCACCAATTCCCCTCTTCCTCCTTCTCCTCTTCTTCTTCCTCCTTCTCCTCCTCTTCTTCTTCCTCCTTCTCCTCATCCGATGCTTCCCCCTTCCTTCTCTTTTCCCCATCCTCTGCTTCCCCTTCCTCCTCTTCTCCTGATCATCTGCTTCCCCTTCCTCCTTTTCCTACTACTCCTCCTTTTCCCCAACTTACCTCTTCCAGCTCTCTTTCTTCTCATCTTCTCCTCCTCTTCTTCTCCTCCTCGGGACAAGCAACAGATTTCTATTTTGGCACGAAAAGTAATTCCAGGTTGCCCTCACGGATATCTCATGCTTGAGTTAAAACCGGCAACTGATGATCAACATACACTATAAAGACTAACGTTTTACCTGGGGAAAATGATGTTCTCCAGTCAAACACAATCAAATATATCCAAAAGCAATCATACCGACAACCTCGTTATGTACAACAAAATCTCGTTATGTACAACATGCGCGTTATGCATAACACGCAACACCAAATTGAGATTATCATCCATTCGCCTCAGCTAACACCAGATGACAACAAAAGCGAACTTGATTCCAATGAATTGAATCAATTTCAAGAGTTTTAAAATAAACCCTCTAACCAGCTCCAAGCTCAAGGTCGGCTGCAAAATAAACTTCAGAATCTATTAGTTACAGCTAATATGGACACATGTCGTACTGTTTAAGAATGCTAAGCAATACGCTGATCCCAAGTCATAAACAGCGAGGCATTAATCTATATTATTTCCAGGGCCAGATAAATGTTCCGTGGGGCCCGTGGCATATTATTGGAGCGGGGCCCCTTGACCCCCCCCCCCCATCCCCAACCACTCAATGGCATTTTATAGCTTGAATTCAGTAAGATTAAAAAATATCCTTTTGTATTTCATGCGTTGAAAAGTTTCCTGTGTATTTACAAAAAAAGAAAGAACTATACATCAATAGTTAATTTATAACATGATAGCGTCCATATAAACTTCTGCAGTCTTCCACAAAATTCAGCAATCTTTTCCGGCGTATTTAACAATTTACTGAAATTTTGAAATTTTCTGAACCCTATGATTTTTGGCCTCACGATCGCTTTTTGGAGCTCCTTGCCCAAAGGAACAAAAAATTTGTTTGCGGCCCTGCTTTTTGTATCTGCGCGTAGCGCAGATATATTGCTATCGCGTCAGTCAGTAAAGTAAAGTAAAGTAAAGTAAAGTAAAGTTAAGTAAGTTAAGTTAAGTTGTTAAGTCCGTCAACCTTGTTTTGAAG